TGTGTTGTTGTAGGTGTTTTGGAGAGGGAGAGAGCTGGTGGCGTCGGTCATGGTGGAGAGAGAGTGACAAAGAGGGAGATATGGTGGCGGTGAAGGGGGGAGGGAGGGACGGTGATGATGGAGGGAGGGAGGGACGGTGATGATGGAGGGAGGAGGAAATTGTGTTGATGGTAGAGTGTTGGAGGGAAGGAAAAGGTGGTGATAAAGGTAGTGTTGAGTTTGATGGTGTGTGTGTGTGTGTGTGTGTGTGTGTGTGTGTGTGTGTGTGTGTGTGTGTGTGTGTGTGTGTGTGTGTGTGTGTGTGTGTGTGTGTGGTGTGTGTGTGTGTGTGTCACAATAAACATCAACAACACATACACAAAACATTTAAAATCCTAAACACTTCTATAAAAAAAAAATCTTCCGCTCTAATCCATCCATTCATCCATCCATTCATCCATCCAATCATCCATCCAATCATCCAATCATCCATGTGACGCAATACAACAAAATCATAATGTTAGTCTTACAACCCCGACCACTACCACGGCATATCAATACAAATGAAGAATTACGGCCAACAGACAGATAAAACCTCCCTATGGAACAACAACAACAACAACACACCTTTATGACACTACTAACATGGGGGGGAGTAGGGGGAGGGGAGGGTAGGTGGGGGGGTAGAGAGGAAATCAATAATAAATATATAACTAAAATCCAATGATAAAAAGATGACACGCGAGAGAGAGAGAGAGAGAGAGAGAGAGAGAGAGAGAGAGAGAGAGAGAGAGAGGGAGAGGAGAGAGAGAGAGAGAGAGAGAGAGAGAGAGAGAGAGAGAGAGAGAGAGAGGAGGGAAGGGAGGGAAGGGAAAGAGAGGGAGGGACAGGGAAGGTGAGGGATAGATACAGGCAGGGCGGAGGTCCGTTTCTCGTGCCCGCTGCGCAACTCTGAACACTGGCACGACAGGAATGTACAAATTAACAGACTTTCTGAATATCAAAGGACATAGCGCTGTTTCCTCCAATCTGCTTGGTAAAATGCGACATATGGCACCATCCAGCGAGCCCCACCCCCACCCCCCACCTCCCCACTACACCGGCCCACACTTACATTTGATAACACTCCCTGAAATACAGATCAGGTGGGGGATAAATGTGTTAGAGCAGCTTATGGAAGGAGGCTGGTGAGAAAGAAATATTACGATGTATGTCAGAGAGGATAGCAGGGTATAGTAATTTAGTGGTGATGGTGGTTGGTTGGTTGGTTGGTTGGTAGGTAGGTAGGTAGGTAGGTAGGTAGGTAGGTAGGTAGGTAGGTAGGTAGGTAGGTTGGTTGGTAGGTAGGTAGGTAGGTAGTGGTGTGGGCAAATAAATAGGTGGTGGTAATGGTAGAAAGGTGGGTGGTAATTGGTAGGTAGTGGTGACAGGGTGGTGGTGGTGGTGGTAGGGAAGTGGTGATTGGGAAGTGGTGATTGGGGAAGTGGTGATAGTAGTGGCGGCCGGATTGGGTAGAAACACTGCGGCCGGTCTCTCATTACTCATCTGGTCACTCTGGTACAGATTAAAGGCAATTAAGACTTTAGTGCTCAGAGGTAGGAAACCCGATAATAAAATGTGTGTATGTCATGGTGGTAATATGATGGTGGCAGCGACATAACTCTCTCTTGCTCCTGGCTGCAGCTTCCATCTAGCCAGGGGGTCGTGGGGGAGGGAAAAGGGAGGGAGGGGGAAGAGGGAAAAGATAATCATTCACTATTGGCGAAAACCAATATTAAAGGGAAAATTCTTCACATTTCCCCACACACACACACACACACGGCTCCACGATTCTGTGTTCTCAAAGGAAAGTCAACAATTAAAGGGGGGAGATGGGGGGATATATATATATATATATTCATGGGTGTAAATACGAAAAAAAAATATGGGGTTAAAATAGTGAAAAGGTGAGTGTGAGAGCGAGGCGTAGAGGTGGTGGTAAGAGTGGTGCTGATTCCCGCTGAAACAAGGCAGGGAACCTTGTTAGTGTGTGAAAGGGAGGGGAGGAAGGGGGAGTGAGGGGAAAGAGGGCGGTTGGGTGGGCAGGTGGGCGGGTGAGGGGGGAAGGGATACAAGGAGGGGGAGAGGGGAAGGGGAAGAGACCCGGCAGGCAGCCACCACCACCACCCCTCTCCCCTCACTCTCCCCTCCCCCCTTTATAACGGCGGCAACATCAAAGGGAAACTTGGTAATCGAAAAGCCCTTTGAACTAGAGCGCAAATCAGATTTTCGCTCGAGTACGCCGCGCCGTCACATCTACCAGCGCTGTGGAGCCCTGGCGTGGTGCGGCTCTCTCTACTGCAGCAACACGCACCCTACACCTCTGTACAGCATTACACCTGTTGTACACACACCTCACTACACTCTTCCACACGTTGCCATTCGCTTATGGAGGAGGAGGAGGAAGAGAATGACGAGGAAGGGGAGGAGGAGGAGAGCCAGCCAGCTAGATCGAGGCTTGGTGGCACACGACCTGATTTCAAACCTCCTTTATCCTCCTCCTCCTCCTCCTCCCTCATCCTCCTCCTCCTCCTCCTCCTCCTCCTCCCTCCTCCTCCTCCCCTTCCTATTCCTCCTCCAACTTAACTTCAAATCCTCCTCCTTTTCCTCCCAAGATGACTAACTTCCTCCATCATTGTGACTCCCAATTTTCCTCCTCCTTCCCAAACATGACTTCTCTTCCTCCTCCTCCTGCAATTTAACTCCTCCTCCTCCTCCTCCTGCAATTTAACTCCTCCTCCTCCTCCTCCTGCAATTTAACTCCTCCTCCTCCTCCTGCAACCAAACGCCTCCCTCCTCCAACACGACTCCAAATCTTTCCCCATCCTCCTCCTTCTTCCTCAGTGTACAATAACACCTGTGTCTTCCTAGGGGCTAATCAGTCCCCACTCGCAGGTGACATCAACACACACACACACACACACACACACACACACCTGGTCTTCCTCCCTAAATGCCACACAACGTAAACGCCTAGAAAAAGTGCAAAAGAGGGCATGCAAGATTATTCTCTCCCCTTCCTACTCCACATATCAAGAAGCGCTCAACACACTGACCCTTTCGACTCTCACTGACCATCACCACGGCCTCATCTGCAAATTTGGTAAGAAGCTTCTACACCATCCCCGACACCGGCCCCTACTACCACCTGAGATCCCCTGTCCGAGAATTGCTGTTCGACACCACAACCGCATCCAGCCCATACGTGCACGAACTGATCGCTATAAGAACAGCCCAGTCCCAACCATTGTAAAAATTATCAATAACATGTAATAAATCAGTGTATTCACTCCCAGTAAACACTGCTCCCTACACTGTCACTATGTTGAAATGAACTGTATCTTGAGCTGATCCCCATCTAAGTTACTATATGTCTTATATGTGTCACTTATGTCACTTGTATATTATTTGTAATTCGTAACCCATTCCCCAAATATGTAACTGTATATTTTCAGCCTTCTGGCTGCCAAGCTCTTTCAATAAACCGTTAATTATTATTATTATTATTATTATTATTT